CTGTGAAAACTGACCTGATCTGACCTGATTCCCACTGGATGACGAACTGATTGGTGGTGGAGAAGGAGGAGATGTTGAGACAGAGGAAACGAAAGAAAGGGAAATTATAAGGATTATACTATATATAGAGGTTGTCGTTCATTTTATAGAGATTAACTAGCAGCAATGTTAGCCAACCAACCAATATTAACCAATCACATTCCATACTCCATTCCCCAAAAAAAACACTACGGAAAATTGTCTTGCTGTTGCTTGCTTTCCAAGAAAAAAAATTGGTTTTGCATTTAATCTTTAGACAGAACAGACACTCATGCACCTAGCTAATTAGTTAATTTTTTTTCTTGCTTGTTGTTTCAATGTGTGTTTTTGATGTGTGTTTTTTATAAGTATACAATATTTAATGGAGCATTCATTCATACGCTATATGGTGTGTGTTGGGGTGAGTGTGTGTGTAGAGAGAGAGAGCAGCCACAAAGAATATGTTAATCAAAGGTCTATATATTTATATTGAGAGAGAGAGATATATAGATGTAGTGTAATGTTTGGGGGGCAGAACATGCACGCAAGGCGCTGGCAGGGCGCGACACTTTCAAGTCAAATTCAAATTTTTAAATCGAAATTCATCATACGCCTAGTGGTACACAATATACAATCGACGGTTGGTAGGTAAGGTCCCTTAACCAAAATAATCATAAATATATAAGTAGGTCAATTGAACGATGCCAAAAAACACTGCTGTTAGTCAAAAGAGGTATGATCAAATATATATATGTGTATATATATATAGAGTTATATATAGGTTTTTTTTACGTGGATGTGATGTGTGTTTAGCGTGCGTTAATCGGTTGCTGCGTTTTATATTTTTTTTGCATTTAGCAATTTTGTATTCAAGTTTTTTCGTTCGTCTATTTGCTTGATTTATACAAAATAGGTCAAAGACTATAGGTTTCATTAATATGCGATATTAAAACTTTACACACACAAGATAGCTAAAAAAAACATTGTTCACCAACAAGAATAGAGAGACAGATAGAGTAACACAGAGAGATAGAGAGAGATGGTAGGAAAAACATAGTCTATAAGCTATATATATAAACAATAGCAGCTGCGGGTTAAAATTATGACAAATGACAGAGATTTCTTTCTGTGTAAGCCAGCACAAAAAGAAACCCTAAAGTTAAAGAAAGTATTGTACAATTATGGATTTTTTTACTACGTTTATACGCCAGCTACTTGCAGAGCAAAATTAATATTTAATTTTTATTAAGTTTGATTTAATATATAATATTTATGAAAACATATCGAAACAAAATGAAGTGGAGATTTTTCCTTTAATATTTAGTTACATTTGTGTTATATTTTTTAAATTCCAACTAATAATGTGTTTGTTTTAGAAACAAAAGATCTAAAAGCCTTGGAAAATAAAGTATTTATCAAACCAAATTTATTTTTAAGGTTATCCATTTCCGTAGGATTTATTTGCATTAAACTAGATATCCATATATACCTGTGGCTTTGTTTAGTAAGGATTTTTATAACTATAAAATCAGCTTGAAAACCCAAAAAAGCTCTGCTCAAGTGCAACATCCATGAAAATATATATACATAATTCGTAACTAGGGCGTGCGTATAAACGTAGTTTGATGGGCTATGGGTATTAGGTGCTCTAAGATTAAGAACTACATTCAAAATCAAATCAAAATGGCGCAGCGGAAACCAACTAAAGTACAAACTAAAGGTGACATTTCTATCTACGGCAAACACAAACTACAGCGGAATCGCGGGTTTGCGACGACAACGGATGGGTGACGACGAGTGGCGAAGAGTCGCGGCCACTCCGGCGCTTCCGCTTCCGTTTCCGTTTCCGGTTCCGGTTCCGGAGTCGCTCAGCGCTCAGTGCTCAACTCTTACTTACGGCGCGAATCCATGCAGGGCGGCAGCACTGTTGGCCGCATTAGCCGACGCAGCCATGGAAGCAGCAGCCGCAGCAGCAGCGGCCGTTTGCGGTGATTGTGTGGCGCCCGCCGCTGAGAGACGGGCGGCATAGGCGGCGGCGGCGGCGGCAGCAGCGTTCGGATTACCAGCAACTCCTCCTTGATTCTGGGCAGCGGCTGCAGCGGCAGCGGCGGCGGCCAATGATTGCTGCAATGCCGAATGTTGCTGCTGGGCGGCAGCGGTGGGCACGGCAACGGCCTGGAGTTGCGCCAACTGGGGGCCAAGGGCGTGGGCATGGGCGGCATGGACATGGGCAGCATGCGGATGCGAGGCGGCTGCAGCGGCGGCGGCGGCTGCGGCTGCATGTTGCTGCTGGGCGACGGCGACCTGTTGCTGTTGTTGTTGCTGCTGCTGCTGCTGCTGTTGGTGTTGCTGTTGCTGCTGATGTTGCTGCTGGGCGGCGGCCACCTGATGTTGCTGCTGCTGGGAGACCGAGACCTGATGCTGTTGCTGCTGCTGTTGCTGTTGGGCGGCAGCGACGGCGGAGATGGCCTGCTGCTGCTGCGCCTGCTGCTGCTGCTGCTGCTGATGATGATGGGCGGCAACCTGCTGTTGGGCGGCTGCTGCAGCCACGGCGGCGGCGGCCACCTGGCGTTGCTGCTGCTGCTGAGCGGCGGCGGCGGAGGCCGCTAGCAGATGATGGTGCGGGTGATGGGGATGATGATAGGGACTGGCGCCGACCACGCCCACATGTCCGCGCTGGATGGCCACTCCACGCATGGCGGCGGCAACGGCGGCTGCAGGAGGATATATCGCATATCGCAATTTTAACCCACGCAAGAAACAACCAAAAATCGTTTTTGTTTTGTTTTTGGCGATAGTTATCGGTTAAGATAGGTTTTTTGTTTTTTTTTTTTTTTTTGCAACGATTCGACACAACATTTTGTATTTGTTTATATATTTTGGTTTGACCAGTGTATGTTTGTTTATATATTTATGTATGTTCATGTGTTTATTCGTGTGCAAAAAGTAGAAAAGGAAAAGAAAAGAACATAAAACGCATGCGGTTAGTTTTCTCTCTTTGATATATAAGTAAATATTTATATAGTAGAGTATATATAGTATATAATGGCAAATTCTAGGCTTCATATTTCATTTTTATAGCGCTGAGATGATGTTGTTGGTTCGGTATATACATATAACAATACATAAGACATACGTGTGTGTGGCTCATACATATGTAAATGGGTTTTTCTCATATCGAAACATACTTAACATTATAGAACACTGAATTACCAAGAAATAATGCTACGCAGTAGTTGCATTTTATATTTGCATAATATGTATATATATAGAGATATTATATCATTGTCAACAATACGAAAAAACATTAGACCGATCTTTAGTACAGTGGTAGATATATAGGCATAAGTACATACATCCAAATATGTACCGTATGCGACGTTTTTCAACAACTCATTGCATTTTGCTGTGTGTGTTTTTTGGGGTTTTAGATTTTGTGTTAAAAAGCATTAAGGTAAATATATATATAAAATACATTTAATTGTTCGTTTAACCCTTGCACCTCTCGAAATACATTTAAAACTAGCAAGAACATTTACCAAGTGCTTAAAAGTGGAAAGAGATAGCGGGGAGATGATAGTTTCAGGATTTTTGTAGAGGATGGAATGGGTTTTCCTGGGAAAGGTGAAAATATGAGCTTACATGCTGGGTAAAGTGTGTTTAAAACTTAAAAACAAAAATAAGAAACTTATAAAGGAAGATTCTTTCTGAAAGCAGAACTCGTTTGCTAATAAGTGAAACTAATAAGCTGTTCGTTCTGCTATGGTGATACATTGCAGGCAAAGCGTGGAGGAAAAGGCGAGAAAAAGCTGCCCTTTTGTTTCGTCAAATAAATAAATATTTAAATAATATCCCTTTCGGCAACCAAAATAAATCGCCATTAAAGTGAAATGGCACCACAAGAGCCGCAGTTCAATTGTACTTTTATTAATTCCACGAGCGGTTTTATCACTCAATTTATAATGATGGCAGGCCTAAAAATTAAAAATTTTGTGAGAAAGTACACAAATACCGAAGGCTATAAAGCTTGCCAATAGGCTTAGCCCTGCATTGTGACATTTCGTTTGAAAATCATTGAAAATCAGTGCAGAAACCATAATTGAAATGTGTATAAAATAATATTTTGGGGGAACATCATTGTGGCGGTTGGGGCAACATTTAGCCACAAATTAAAAATTTGGTTTGGCCAAATGTGCAATTAAAAATTCGATTTGCTATATTTTTATGCAAATTTTTGTTAAATCGGTATTTGTGTGTGCACACGAAGAATTTTCGGAGAAGAAAATTCTCATCGTATTATGAAGCTACATTTTCGCTAAAAATCCTGTGTTAATTTCTTGAAAAATGCATTATTAAAGGAGAAAAATAAATGCTGGGGTATGTTTTCTGTCTGTGATGGTGGTGAAAAGGTGGCATGCAAAATCAATTTTTAAAATTCCATTCGATTTCTGCTTTGCGAATTTTTAATTGGCAAATTGAATTTGCAAACGTGGCAAAGACAAACACAAAATAATCCAAAAATCGTGCAAACTCCAAAGGGTATAGAACTTAAGAACATATATATACGGGGGATATAGGAGCAGAAATAGAGACAATACGAAAGAGAGAGAGTATGGTTGCTAGAAAGTGATGCTCTAAGAGAAAGGCGCCTTACAGAAAAATGCTTGCTGAGGCAAAATGTTCGCTCTACCGATAAACGTTACGATATATATATATATATATACGATATATTCGATATATTACGATATAGATTTTAGTCTAAGGTTAAAGCTAAGATTCCTTGCCAAACTTAACAGCTAGAAACAGTTACGGTTACAGTTTCAAGTGGTTGCCACTAGAGATTATCACTGCGATCGAGTGTGTGTTGTGTGTGGGAGTGTGTGTGTGTGTGTGCCTAGGCTTTTAAAACAAATGCAATCTCAAGGATGGCAAAATATATATGCAATATTTATATGGAGTATATCGATAGTCAAATAGTCATACCCAAAAAAATGCGTAAACCAAAGTAACAAGACAACAAAACATTTATACTTGTAATTAATATGGTACAAAGATTGATTCTCATAGCTAAATAGTTTCTGTGATCTTGGTTTCCGGTTCTAATTGTATTATTGATGTTGTTGTTGCAGTGTTTTTGATTTATATATTATTTTATGGGTTCATCGATTATAAGCGAGCTTGGTTGGCGTTTTGGAATTCATTTTTTATTTCTTTGGAGCCTTTTTGAAGGAAAGTTTTAAAAATGATTAATATATGTTCTCAATTTGAAAATTCATCATTATAAATAAATAATTCATAACAGATATGATTTTTAAACTTTTTCTTTAAGGGTATTTGGTATGTTTAATGAAATATTTTCATAAAATCAACATTAGAATGATTAGCAAAGGGGTATTTTTTAATAGAAGACTGTCTGAAGAACTTTTATGCTTGTCTGAGTAATGAATTTATTATTAAAATTAAGAAAACTCTTACGCAAAATCAGCTCGCTTATAAACGAAGTAAGTTTTTGTTATATTTTTCAATCTTTTTGAATTCTGCTTTTAGGCGCTCGCTTTCACCAAATTCCCCAGTCTGGGGATATTTTTGTTTTTTCATTCTCCCCAATCGATGTCGTACCTCCGCCGTGGCGCTGCTGCTGCTGTGGTCGCTTGGACAGCGTTGTGCGGTGGGCGTGGTGCCAGCATAATGGGCGTGGCCGCGGCTGCGGCCGCTGCAGCGGCATGTGCCGCCGATGCCGATTGGGCCGCCGCACCGCCGCCAACGGAAACCGATGGCGGCGCCTGGGCCACCGGCATGGAGACGGGCAGCTGCAGCGGTGCGAGGGTGGGTGCTCCGCCGAGGGGGGCGCCCAGGAAGGGCCAGGCGGCGGCCACCGGTAGGCGATAACCTTGGATTTTGGCATACAGTTTCGGTTAACTAATTGTGGGTATTTTTTTGTTTTCTATTGTTTTTCGTTTTTGGTTTTTTGTTTACAGCTTTTTTGGAAATATGAACTTATAATGAGCGTTGTGTGTTAGGTGTGTGCGTGGGGAGTTTCTGTATTTTTTTTTTTTCAAATATATAGGTTGGTTGGTTTATATATATATACATATTCGAGGGATGCATGATGAGGTTGCTGTTGCAGTTGCTTTTGTTGTTGTTGGTCAAAGAAAATACAAGGAATAAGATGCATAACTCGCAGGACATTTGAATTGCTAGGTTTACTTTCTTATATATTTAAAAGCGTTTAAATAAAACACTGGCTCTCCAACTTTTTCTCATATCAAATAATCCTTTGGCATTATGCATCTTATTTCTTATACTGCCTTCGTCAAGGCTTACTTCTAGTGCTAAAAGTTAGACTTTTTTGGTTGGATCTTGACGCGCGACGGCGAGAGTTACCAGTTACATTTACGAGTACGAGTACGAGTATAAATAGTTTACGCTAAGGAGCATTTCAGACATGTTCAGACCAAGGAATAGACCAAACGGAAAACGTGTAATACAAAACTAAGGACAACAAATAAATACACAATAATCAAAGTCAAATTCAAATTGAAATTCAAATTCATAATCATAATCATAATTCATAATCATAATCATAAGGGAACGCACATACAACGAAACTTGGTTAAGAAAAGGATATGTAGATAAAATAGTTGGCATATAAATTGATATATAAAGTTATATAGTAGGTAGTATATGCATAAGACAACACAGCCGCAATATGCTAAACTCATAACCATCGTTATAATGATCGCCAGATTATCTCTCAGTCACCATTGTCATCATCATCATTATTATTATTATTATTTATAATTAATTAATTAATTAATGTCAAATCAGGACTAGAAAGAAAACGAGCAGACGAGAGCCTGCTTTATTTTTTGGGATTTTCGAGCGGGTGTTAATGTGGCTTTTTATGATTCAAAACTCTGTTGTTTTGCTTGGTATTTTTCACTTTGAATTGAAACTTTGGTTAAATGCAGACGAAAAACGAATAAATTATAATATAATATCAAAAAATAAGGGGGAAATAGTTGAACAGTTACAAACAGTTATCAAATAGTTGCAGCATTATATTCATATATAGATTGTATGCATAGTTTATATAGATTAACGCAATTTCCGTTGGACCTACCAAACAAATAAATTAAATACATGAGATAATCTCTATGAAACGAAAGGAATGCTCATATTTCATATTATTTTTTTATAAATGTTTGTTTGCAGATTGCAACCGAAAAATAAAAGTAAGTAAAACGAACAAATGCAATTGCAAAATGTTTCATTTGGGGTGAACTTTTTGGGACGAGTCTCTTTTGGATCCTCCGGCGATGAGCCTACCCATGGGCTTATATATGTTCCATATCCATAATATCAATATCAATATTTGAGCCCTGCCTAAATATTTGTTTTGCTTTCGGTCTTTGTTTAGTTTTATGTTTTTTGTTTTTTGTTCGGCTTACAAGCTAGAAAGTTCGTTCGATAAAACTCTTACAAAATACATGTATTTTATATAAAACAAAAACTGGTCAATTATTTGTACATTTATGATACCTTATGCTTCTCTGCATTTTGTGTTTTGGTTTATTGTGGTGTGTGTGGGCGTGTTTAATTGTGTGTATTATTTGAGAATTTACAACAAAAGTACGTACGTCAGGCAATAAATACTTAATAATAGCAATAAAACGCTGAAGACGAAAAAATATGTGAACGAAACGCTTACCTTCGGGCCATTGTACGCAGACTGTGTGTGTTGAGATATCCAGCAGAACGATTTATATATATATTTATATTTGAAATATATATTCGTGTTTTTATATTGTCGTGGCATGGAAAAGGCAAGAGAAAATATTTTCATTAGTTTGCATTTAAATTGGGCTTTTTTTTTCTTGTTGCATTTTTGTATCCTTGCTGGATATAGCCTATTATAAAATATTGTTGGATACATGTCTTAGGCACATATATATAAAAAACAGGCAGAGCTCTATTACAGATACTAGATTGATTTTCTTTTTTCGATTTTGGGTTTTGTTTTGTTTTGTTTTAGTGCTTATGGTAATTGGTTAAATACTGCAGAATACTAATTGATTTGTGGCAATTTGTGTTTCATTGTTTTGGCTGGCGCATGCAGCATCCTTGTGTTTTCTCTCATTTGTTGGCAACTGAGGGGGAAGGGTATTTAGATACATATATGAAATCAAAACAAGACTTGCTCATATAAATAAGTGGGTTCGATTGGGTTTATGCATATAAAGGGTTTGAAGTTTGGTGGAAAATCAATAGAAAGTGATTTGGTTAGGGAAAGAAATGTGTTAACCAGATAAATATTAATTTTTATACTTAAATTCCCATTAAGCTTGAATTTGTTTTTATAATAAATTGTTAGCTTCTTAAATGATAAATTTAAATACAAATATGGTGTATTCAAAGGTTTGCCAGCTCCAGCTAAAAAAATTACAAGACTATAGGCGTTACTAATATTATAAAGATTTTTCCAGATTTAGAGCATATGTAAGTTATTATATTCAAGACTTTTAAGATATTTCAAGACCTTTAAATTAATGGTGATAACTATCGATTTCATAGTTAACCACCTTTAACTCTTCAATATTATGTACAAATTCTATTTTAGTCGACATTATTATCGATACATTGTTAGTTCTCAAACGATTCTCGGTATTTACTTTGAAAACCTTTTTCTCTTTGTGCAAAAATAGAGCCATTGATAAGCTTTTGCATTCATTGGAAATGCAAAGAAATGCTTAACAAAATGACAAATAAGCAAGCAATGATTGCTTCCCTCCACCAATCGAATGGTTACACAATGAGCTCCCTCTCTCCTGTCTCTCGCTCTCGTCTTGTGTGCCATGGAAATTCGCAGGAGTCTGCAATTGCCCTGGAAATTGGCAAAATAAATACCCCAGGAAAAAGCGGCAGGCGGTGGCGTGTGGGAGGGAAAATACCACCGAAAAATGCAGTAAGAGAGACATGTCAGACAGAAGCAGACACTTGCTTGATGGGCATGGGAACAAGGACGAAAAGTCGACGGGGCATGGGCATGGCGCATTAAGTTAACATGTCAAGGATCAACGCAAAAAAAGAGTAGGAAAGGAAGGAAGTAAGGAAGAAAAACAGCTCAGGCCAAGAAAGTTAAAATGGCAAGGAGATGAACCAGAAGTCGGGGGAAAAATCAACCTATACGGATAAATTTCCTGCAAATGCACCAAGTAAGTGTGCGGGGCATCGCATTGCATAAGACATAACAAAACACAGGGCAGAATAAAACGTTTCTGCGGCAGGACCCAAAAGGAATCCCCCTCAAGGATAACCAGAAAACTTTACTTTATTTTCTTTTCGTTTTTGCTAAATTTATGTGTGGGTTGGGAGCTGTGTGTGTGAGCCACATGTTTGCAACTTTGTGGTTTATTTGCAATTATCCCAACTGCCGCGCTTGACTGACTGACTAACTGACTGACTGGCTGTGGGACTCGGTGACTGACTGCTCTGACTCCTCGTGGAGCCCATGACTGCCGCCTAACGAGCAGGACAACGACGTGAGTGAGTCCTCGTCCTCGTCCTCCTCTCCTGGCTGGGTAATAATGCAGCAGGCGATTTGCCATGCAAAAGGAGCCAGTTCGAAACGTGATAAAGTGACTGCCAGGGAGAAGCGAGGGAAAAGCAAGCTCTGAGCTGCTCAGCTGTCCTTTCAATTCTTCGCCTTGTCTGGAGCACTTGGAAACAAGAAAGAAAGCTAACTTCGGCACGCCGAAGTTATATACCCTTGCAGATAGAACTTCTATGAATAGGAATCCATACAATATAAATTATATATATTTGTGTTAAAAAACAATGAATAATAATACCTGCTTCATTCATTCACCTATACATATTATATTTGCAGTTTTACATTCACAGATTTGCATTTTTCCTCTACATCAAACGATCGTTGTATGGCACCTATAAGATATAGTCGTTCGATTTCATAAAATTTGACAAAAAATTTAAGACTAATATAAAATAGATATACCTTAAATTTGATGAAAATCAGCTGAAAACTAAAAAGTTATAAATTTAATTGTATTAATTTCTCGATCGTTCCTATGGGAGCTATATGATATATTGGTCCGATTTCATAAAATTTACACAAAATTGTAGAGTATAGTAAAATGGCTATATCTTAAATTGATCCAATTCTATTGAAAACTGAAAAGTTAAAAATTTTTTGTAAAAATTTTACGATCATTCCTATGGCAGCTATATGATATAGTCGTCCGATCCGGCCCGTTCCGACATATATACGAGTGAGAGTATATAGAAGGCTAACTACAAAGTTTCATTCAGATAGCTTTAAAACTGAGAGACTAGTTTGCGTAGAAACGGACAGACGGACAGACGGACAGAAGGACAGACGGACAGACGGACAGACGGACATGGCTAGATCGACTCGGCTGTTGATCCTGATCAAGAATATATATACTTTATATAGTCGGAGGTGCCTCCTTCACTGCGTTGCAAACTTCTGACTGAAATTATAATACCCTGCAAGGGTATAAAAAGGAAGGGGTTTAAAAATAATATTTAACTAGCTAGGGATTCTAATTTTCAGAAACTATAAATATTATAGATATTTAAATGTAGATAAATCTATAAGTAATTAATGTATAATAATCGATATTATCGAAAAATTGTAGTGGCGACTGAAGACCCTGCCACGGAAATCAGCCTAGAAGGATGCTACGCTTTATGTGAAGCCTAAGCCTAGCTCGCCAGTTTTGGCGATCACGTAAAGGTGGTCAAGCGACTACGTAACAAAGCTTTGAGCAAGCTTGCACGTGCCGTAATGTAGAGCTGCATTTAATTAAAACGCGTTTTGGCATATTTAACAGAGAATTACATTTGCTC